TAATTGACTTTGATAGATTTGGCTTTTCACAGCAATGCAAGGACCTAAGATAATTCCAAAAGACTCATGATGGAAAATACTATCCACATCCAGAAAAAGAACTATGGAGTCTGAATGCAGATGAAAGCATACTATTTGCTCTCCTTTTCCTTTGTTGTTTTTGTTTTATTGCTTCATTCTCTTGGTTCTTCCCATTACTTCTAATTGTTCTTTACATCATGACTAGTGGGGAAAATATGCTTAATATGAATGTATAAGTAGAGCCTATATCAGATTATATGCCATCTTGGAGGGGGAGAGAGAGTAGTGGGAGGGAAAGAAATTTTAAAACTCAAAATCTTGTGGAAATAAATGTTGAAAAATAAAAATAAATTAATTATCAAGGAAAAATCATTAATAACACAGGAAACAAAGGTCTCTAGAAGCAGTGGAGTAAAGAAAAGCTTTATAGAATCACACTGATAAATTAAAAAAAGATTAGATTAACTCAGTCTTCTCATTTTGTCCCATAGTGAACCCTTTTTCCCTTTCTCCCATCCCCTTCTCCAGTTATGGAATGGAATTAACCTTGCCTTGATCTGATAGACTGGGGGATATCCCATGAAATGAAACCTATACATTCGCTCATGTGTATGTATGTGTATGTATGGTGTCTCAAGCCACTTCTATTAACACATGTGGTCTGACCCCTTGACAAAGGCTATGTGCAATCAGAGGCTACTAGTAGGGTTGCAGCATGAGAAAGGAGGGAAGGAGAGGTGTGGAGTATTGATGACTGAGCCAGAAAGAGCCTTCAAAGAAGAAATTAAAGTCTTTTTTTCCCTCTCCCCCTCTTTCCAACATGCCTAGACTCTACCAGCTCTCCCTCAAAAATCAATAAAGCTCTCAAACCAAGCATATGTGGATATGCATGACTAAGTATGTAAAATTTAAAGGATATTAATGAGGCCTAAAAAATGTAAGTGATTAATCCAAGTTCACATATATAGTAAGGGTCATGACTATTATTTGAACCCTGGTCCTCTGCTGCCAGATCCTTATCATCCCCCTGTGCATCTAGGCTATTATTACTTTTAGACACAAATGATAAAAATCTCTGAGCAGCTACAATCTACTTGGTAATACCATCAGCCACCATTTATTAAGCCATTAACTTCCTTAAGTCTAGAAAATCAAATTTTGTTTAGGGCTGTTTGGTAATGTAGTAACCCAGTAAAATGTGATTAACCAATTAGATCATGTAATGAGGAAAAAAATATATATCTTACTCCAGAGCCTGTAGAAGGACTGCCACGTTTTCAGCATTCTCAGGGTTGAGAAGATGTACCATGGCTTATAAAATTCCACATCATAATTGTTGATGGTTTGGTCATTTAAAATTCCCTGAACAAACCCTTAATAATTTGAGAATGATAGAATTGTTAAATGGGACCAGAGATCCAACCTCTACCCAAATGTATCCCATCAGTGTCATCCAATATGATGCAGCAGTGAGAACACTAGAGTCATGATCAACTCAACAGTCTCGTATGTGCCAGTAACTGTGCTAAGGGCTGAGGATACAAAGGGGAAAAGGAAACCATCTTTTTGTCAAAGAACTTATGTTTTGTTGGGGAAGAAATGTACAAATGTAGATATATACAAAACAGATTTCTAGAAGTCCTGGGTAATAGAGATGGGGGAGAGACAGGATGGAGAGGCATTAGAAGATAATGGAATAAGGAAATAAGGAAAGGCTTCTTGAGCTGAGCTTTGAAGGAAGGGATTTCAACAGGAGGAAGGGGGAGGCAATAAATTCTAGGTATGTCTAGTCACCATATAGAAAGACAGAGATGATAGATAGATCTTTGAGAAATAGGGAGAAGATGAGTTTGCCTGCCTGGTAGTGTGGCAACAGAAAGCCACTGAAATTTTTGAACGAGGAGTGACATGGTCAGACTTGTGCTTTAGGAAAATCACTTTGGCAACTGTGTGAACAAGGAATTGGAGAGAGGACCAACGTCCTGAGTTTGAATCAGATGAGCTTACTGCCTATGTGACTTTGGGCAAGTTATTTAACTTCTCCAGAGGTTTCCTGGTCTGTAAAGAGAGATGATTGGACTAGGCGAGTCCTAGGACCCCTTCCAGCCTTAGTTCTAGTTTTGATCCTGGGTCACTGATGGATGAGCATCCCACCTCTCTCCCTGAAGACTTTCAGTGATGGGAAACTCTCTCCTCCAAGGAGCAACGGCCTACTTCATTTTAAGTTGGGGCTCACTGTTTGCATATTTTGCCTTATATTGAACTGAAATCTACCTTGCCATAATTTCCATTTCTGAGTATTAGTTCTGCCTTTGGGACCAAGCAGCTAAATTGCCTTCTGTAAAGCAACCATTCAAATGCTTGAAGGAAGTTCCCTGAATATGTACAAAGCACACTCCTCACCACAGGCTGGTTATAGTATAGTTATCTCTTCCATGTGTAACTTTCCCCACTGCAGTTTCGATATATCACAGGCTGGCATAAGAAATTAAATGGGAATTTGGGTGGGGGGAATTTTGTGGAAACTGCAAATGATGCATGAAGGCCAGCAGATGACACAGAAAAAGTTTAGAAACTCAGAAATGCATAAAATATATGTATGGTACTGTATAACATCAGCATCCCATGCAAGAAAAAGAAAAAAATTCAGACTTCTTTTCTGGTAGAAAGGGAGGACCAAAAAATTTTACATGTTTTGTGGGTGTGCCCATGCCCCTAACCCCCATGATGTGGAAGAGATAACTGTACTTATGTACTGGGGGGAGGTGGATGAAGGGTATGCCAGTGGAAAAAGACAAAACCCTTCACAAAGTTTGTAGTCTATTATAGGAGATAAGGTGTATACAGAAATGCATATAATACAAAGCAGTCTCCATTGCATATTATTGCAATGGTATAGACAAAACACTTCAATCTCTGTCCCAATCAGCTGCCAAAGTGATTTTCTTAAATCACAGCTCTAACCATGTCATTCCCCTACTCAGTATACTCCTGTGGCTCCCTCTTAATTCTAGGATTTGGTTTTTAGAGATCTTCACAACCTAGCTTCAGTCTATCTTTCCAGCTTCATAACATATCATTGCCTTTCATGTAAAGTCCAGTCAAACTGGCCTTCTTAGTGTTCTTCACACAGAATACTTGCTCTCTCTTCTCCATGCTTTGTGCCAGCCTTGCTTATAATAGGCTACATTCTCACTTCTTTATCTTAGAAGCTACAGCTTCCCTGAAGGCTTGTCTCAAGGGTCCCTTTCTCTATGGAGCTTTTCCTGATCCCCTTTGTTACTGTTGCCTTCACCATGAATAATCTCCTATCTATTTTGCATGTATCTCTATATGTATACTTGGTCTCTTCTTACTTGCTTATAAACTCCCCCAGGGCAAGTATTGTTTCATGTTTGTCTTTGTCTGCCAAATGCCTTGTGTGTATCTGGTCTTAGTAGATCCTTACCAAATATTAATTGATTGATTATTGTTACATTTTATTCATTCAATCAGTTCAAAAAGCATGTATTACACATCTATTACTGGTTTCAAGATGCTCTTCCAGGACTTTACTCAGATAAAGAGCAAAAGATATAGTCTCTGCACTAAAGTTGCTTTCAGTGCATGATAAGGTATGGACAGAGAGAAATACAAGACATTAAAATATTATAAATGCAAAAAGACATTATAAAGTGTCCCAAGAACTGATAAGTCTAGATTACTTGGGGCAGGGGGATGAGGAGAAGGAAGAGATAGTGTTCAAGTGCAGAAGGGAACTCCAGGAAGCCTTCATGGGGGACATAACATTTGACCTAAGCCTTGAATAAATTAGTCCTAAGTTAAACTTCAAACTGTATTGTCATTTTCTTACATCATTTAGTAGAACAAACCCCAAATTGTCCATGAACATAAACCAGAGAATGTGTGAGCTTTTTTGAATTAAGGGGAAAGCAAGCCAGCAGTTAGCACTATATGCAAATCATGGTTTTGTAGTTGTTATTCCGAACCCTGCTGGTTGATATCCCAAATGACTGATGAGCTTTGTTTCAATTCTGCATCACATTCAGAACAAAAGAAACAGCCAATTTAAGGATTTTTTTTTCTTTCCTAGACATTCCCTTGCACTGAGCAGAACTCTGACTGCTGACACATAAAAATATGGGAAAGGAATACTTCAAAGATAGTTGAAAAATTACCTTTCATGCATTTGCACATCTGTTCCATTCCAAGGCATATGTTATATGTTGTCTGACTGTATTTAAATGCATTTCTCTCCATTAGGCTTGAGATCAATGTACAACTTGGTTGGATGGCTTAGATAGTTACTCACAGGGAATTTCAAGTAACTTCTCTTTCCTTCTTTCCTCATTGTCAAAGAAGAGAAAACATTGGATCTTACACCAGGGCTTCTCAATAAATATGACCCAGTGATAATGGGAATGGACTTGCTTGTCCCTAATCTAATAATCAGGAGGCAGGGTCTTCTGTCTCCTTCCCTAACATACTGCTTAAGGGTGGTGGTTTACCAGAAGGAATGGCATACTCTTGTACCGTTTTTATTACAAACACTGTCAAGTGCTCATTCCATTCTATGTCCCATCATTGCATCAAATGCATTTTCAATGTGATTTTCATTCTATCTGCAAAGTTATGCTTGTAGGTTACTTATCCTCTATCATTTTAAAATGGGTATTTCATTTAACTTAGGAGAAAAAAATGTTCACACTTAGGGGATTAAGGACCCCAGGATATTCCCAGTGAAGTTTAACTTCCTATGTCCTTTAAACTGGCTTGTATTACATTTTCATTTTGATGAATACACATAGTCCCTGAAGCCAGGAAAATCTGACTCATGAATAATCCAGATGATAACATTCACTGCCCCCCCCTTCCATTAGACACACAAACACTGTTCCCTAGCATCTTTTATTTTAATGCAGCATATTTTAAAAAAAAAATGATGTGTATTTAATGTCTGCCTTTTTCCTTCTCCACAGGTCAATGGAACAGAAATTGAATACGAATTTGAAGAAATCACATTGGAGAGGGTAAGATAAATTCAGGCTTTATATTAAAACCTAAATCTTGCGTTTCTTGTAAAGTGCCCAAATGAGTTGTCCTGTGAAATAATGCAACTGTAGGTTATAACTTTCTGGGTTCCCACGGGGCTAGTAATTAATATGCTAATGAAATGGAATACAGGATATGGAGGCTGACAGGCCAAATAAGAACTATTCAGTCACCAGAAATTGTTCTCAGAAACGAAAGAAATAAATACCCTAGGAAAGTTTCATTAAGTTTATAGAGGACTTAGCTATTTCCAGTAGTGATATTCTTAAGATACTCTCCCCTACAGAAGAATGTAAGTTCCCTAAATGTGAGAACTATTTCTTTGTTGTTGTTGTTGTTGTTATTGTATCCTTCATGACTATGGTTGCTGTCACGTAGTAGGTGCAGAATAAATGCTTGTTGAATTATTGAGTTGAATTACTAGGCAGTGTGGTTATATTGGAGAGACCTCTGGACTTGGAGTCTCAGCTTTATGATGGAGTAAGGTTAGTAAGATTCTCTCCCCTATCTCAGCCTTAGCTTGTTTTTTTTTTTTTCCTTCTAAAATGGAGTCAATGAAACTTCATGCTATCTACTTCACTAAGTTTTTGTTAGGAGTGTGCGTTATAAACTGTAAAGCACTATACAGATGTAGGCTAGTATTATTGTCTTTGTTATTGCTGCTATTGTTGCTGTTGCCTCTTACCTCTGACATAGTTTGCAGAAAGATGGTATAATAAAGTTATTTTCTAAATACAGTTATAATAACCACACAGAACTATGGGAGGGCAGTCAGAGATGTTGAATCTGCTGTTATACAGCTGCTGTTCATTAATCCTACTTCTTCCCTTCTTGGTACCAGAAAACAAGCCTAATCTCTCTTCTGTGTGACAGCCTTTCAGACACATTTTCTCAGCGTTCTCTTCTCCAGGGTAAACAATCTTGGTTCCTTAAAACGATCTTTATATGAAATAACTTCAAATTCTTTTACGTTCATGGATGGCTTCTTCTACATCTTCCCCAGTTTATCAGAGCCCCGTGTAAAACAGAGTACCTAGAACTGGACACAACACTCCATATGTGGACCAACTAGGGGAGTGCACACCAGGCCTCACCTCCCTAGGCCATGGCACTCTTCCTATTTAATGTAATTTAAGGATGAGCTAAAATTTAAAGTTGGCAACAGACTGAGGAGAATAAAGTCTAATAATGATATAAGTTTAAATCACAACACAGTATTTATTTTAGTCTGAAAATAACATTGGATATTATCTATTTCAACTCCTTCCATTTTATTGAGGAAATTTGGGGCAAAAGGGGTCAAATGGTTTGCTTAGAATCACAGTTAGTGAGCGCTAAGGCCTGGAACATGTCCAATGCAGTGTTCTTTATTATTTTTTTCTTTCTTTCCTCATACTTTTTATTAAGCTTGAATGGTTCTGAAGGGAAATTTTCCATTGAGGATTTTAGTGTTCTGCAGATGGGTTCTTTCAAAAAGCTTGTGATCAATTCTGACAAAATTTCAACATCATCCTAAACTGGGAGAAGTGGGACCTATGTAAAGTAAGCACAGATGTGAAAGAAGGAACACAACAGCTGACTACAACAGCCTGAGGAAAACCATAATACAAGAGTAACTGTGGTTTGAAAAGGCTAAGTTAGAAATTGGCATTTGTGTGGGGAAGTGGAAAAAGCATTGAATTTGGGCACTGAGACCACAACTCTGGCCTGTCTTGAATTAGCTATCCATGTAACCTCAAACAGGACAGTTAACTTAACTGGCTCTCAGGTTTAGCACTGGAAGGCAGGTAGGTGATGCAGTGGGTAGAGTGCTAGGCCTGAAGTCAGGAAGATTCTTCCTGAGTTCTAATCCAGCCTCAGACATTTACTAGCTGTGTGACCCTGGGCAAGTCACTTAACCCTGTTTGCTTCAGTTTCTTTATCTCTGAAATAAGCTGGACAATTAAATGGCAAGCCACTCCAGTATCTTTACCAAGAAAATCCCGAATAGGGTCGTGAAGAGTCGGACACAACTGAAAATGACTAAACAATAATAACAACAACCTCAGATGAAATATAACTTGTCTCCTAAGTCATATATGGACTGTCATATGCACAGGGTGAAAAGAGCTCCCATATAGGAAATTTCCCATATTGACAGAGATCCCAGAGATCTTTTTTTATCAAATATCAGTTGTTATTATTGACAATAGTATTATTGTGAATTGGATCACCCCACTGAGAATTCTTATACCACGAAGTATATCCCTATGCCCTTCTCTACTGCCTCCACTTCCCAGACTGTTGCTAATGCTCACCATTCTACCAGTAAAATAGTACCTTTTGGTTAAGACATTAAGCTCACTTTGGGTAGCAATTTTGACATACTAGGGATTGATTAAATATTTGTCATATAAAATTAAATTGGATCCTGCCAAAAGACACATACTCCTGAAAGCCGCAATATATTATTCCACTGTCAGTCATTAATAGCAACTAGATAGTATGTACCTTTCAAGCCAAAGACTCAGATTGATAAAGGAATAAGCATTTATTAATTGCCTACTATGTGCCAGTCACTGTGCTAAGCACTTCACAAATATTATCTCATTTCATTGTCACAACAACTCTGAGGTAGGTGGTATTATTATTCCCATTTTATAGATGAGGAAAACAGAAAAAAAAACATAATTGACTTGTTCAATGTCACACAGCTAGTGTTTGAGGCAATATTTGAACTCAGGTCTTTCTGACTACAGGTTCAGAACTCTATCCACTCTGCCATGTATTGTGTAGCAATACAAACACATAATACAAACTTTAGTCATGGATACAATGGTACCTTGAACTTAAACTTTTAAAGATCACTGAGAAACCTTGCTGTCTAGTAAATTTTTGGATGTAGCTTCATTCAAAAGCAATATATCAAGAGGTATGTGACAGATACTGGTGGGATTTGTAGGAAGAGGAGCCAGGTGGGCTAGGGTAGATAATGGATTAGTCATGCCACCCACAGTGACCTTCCTAAATTCAAAGCAACTTTCTTTTAATAAATAAATAAAGTCAATAAATAAATAAATAGAGCATTTGTTAGTGTTTCCTGACAGCTTGAATCCTGGCCTTGCTCTTTTATTCTCTTTGTGGAGCTGGGCCAGTCCCATTCTCTTGGCCTTACTTTCTCTATCTATAAACTATGAGGGTTGAACTAGATCAATTCTAAGCTCCCTCACAGCTCTAAATTAGGTGCTCCTTTCAGTCCTGATACTCCCTAATTTACAGGATGGTTTTGAGCATCAAATGAAATTAGGCATCCAAAGTTCTTTGCACACTTTATTCTAGTGCTATAAGAATGTGAGTTCTAACCAATATTCTGTTTAAGTGAAGAGCTCGTAACTGACCAAAAAGTTACTTATCATTTTCAGTCTTCCAAATGCTTCAATCCCACCTACAGGAACATTTAAAATTTCCCATTTAGAATAACAGAAATAATTCTGTTCAGAATACTAATTCAGAAATAATTATAGAATCCCTTCTGGCTTAACTTGTTTGGGTTTTCCTTTAATCCTCTTAGCATGCATGACAGTAATGGAAATGAAGGGTTAAAGACTTGTTGTTCAGTTGTTTTTCAGTTGTGTCTGACTCTTCATGACCCCATTTGGGGTTTTCTTTGCAGAGATATTGGAATGGTTTGCCATTTCCTTCTCCAGCTTATTTTATAGATGAGGAACTGAGGCAAACAGGGTTAAGTGACTTGCCAAGGGTCACACAGCTGGTAAGTATCTGAGATTAGATTAGAACTCAGGAATATGAGTCTTCCTGACTCCAGGCCCAGCATTCTATCCACTGTGCCACCTCGCCGCTCAACAGTAACGGAAATGAAGGGTTAAAGACTCAGACATCTGGACATTTGAAGTATTTTTTGAGATAAGTAGGAAACATCAAGGTCGTTTCTCCCACAGTGGTATACAGCCAATCATCTGAGTGGTATGACATAATCTTTTGACATCAAGATAGGTACCAAAATGGGTATGTTTATATAAGTGTATATATATATATATATATATATGTATATGTATGTATGTATGTATGTATGTATGCATGTATTTAACATGTGTAAAGTTATCATCCAGACCCAAAATTTCATTAGAATAGGAACTCAACATTGAAACTCAAATGAGCAAATGAGTGTCTTTGCTGTAATTTATTGTATTTGAGCATCAGCTAGCACTCTGAGAGGTTTAATGACTTGCCTATGGTTACACAGCTAACAAGAGTGAAAAGCAGGATTTGAATGACCCATGTCTTCCTAATTGTAAAGACTTACCCTCTATTCAGGTGTTCAGACAGGACTAGCACCTCTGGTGTGACAGCTTACTCACCCCTCTTCAGGGTTGCCCGTCCATCTTTGGTGTCCACGTGATTCACCCAATTCTCACCTGTGGCTCCAAGAAGCTGTAGAATGTACAGCAGCCACACCCTGGTAAAATCATCTCAGCAGACAAGCTAAACCAGGTTGAAGGTGACCAACAGGCCTCAAACCCATCAGTGAGTTAGGGGGGTGTTTACCTCAAACATGTGAAGACTTCCCCTGGTGGAATGGGTAGATGAGAACAACTGATTCCAATGGCCATGAAGGCAGCTGAAGGAGAACTTAGAGCTTGGTCAAAAGGTCAGCCACTGGTCCCTGGCCATCACTAGTTGTCTTGACTTTTATCTTGCCACTGGACTTTGATGACTCTGGAAGAGAGAGGGAAGCTGATGACCTTGTGTGACTCTGCCTCACTTAAATCTAATTCATGTGTGAGTCAAGACATCACTCCATGATGTCATTGGTCCTCTTCGAAAATGAAGGAAAACAACATACGATGTATAATATATGTATGTTTGTGTGTATGTATATGTTCATATGCATACATATATGCACATATATAAGTATATGCATATATATGCACACAATATCTATATGAGGAGGAGGAAGAAGGAGAAGAAGAGAGAACGA